TAGTGCAACTTTTTGGCCAGGTGCAATTGAAAAGGAAATATTAGTAAATATTTGTTGTTCAGGTCGAATTAGATATGTACGTGAGACATTATCAAAATAAATACTTCCATCAAAATTATTTAGTTCAATAGAACAATTTTCATTGGATGTTGAAGGAATTTTTGGTTGACGATCAAGTAAATCAAATATTCTTTTTACTTGCACCAACTGTTTACATAAATTCTAGAGGATAAATTGAGAAAATAAGAGATTATTTTTATTTCATCATAATAATTGAATATTTATTGCCATAGAGTGAAGCAAGATAAGCAAAAGCAACAGCAACTTGTATCAAATACAAAAGAAATGATGATAGAATACTAGTTGATAATTTTTTATCATGAACTAATTTGGCACCATACCTAAAATTACAAACTCTCAGACTTTATTTACATAACATCAAAGTCTTTAAAAAAACAGAGCTGAGTATATATCAACATACAGAACGTCCGAATCGTTTTTCTTTCATATTATCAAATATGTTTTATAGTTTAAAAACAAAGTAATAATACAGATCATTTTCACTAAGATTACCAGTTTTCTTCTCAAATGTATATACAATGGATTCAAGTAAAGAACAAAAAAGAAAAATATAAATACAAGATAACATTGATGAAAAACAAGAACAAATTTAATAATAGCAAAAGTCAATGAACCGATAGCTATCAATAAGAGAGCCATGGTAAATAGATATCGATTGAAAGGAAATGAAGAACGACCTATTGGTCTGTACAGACGAAGAATCACAAGTGTTTCCAGTTCAGTGAGTAGAATAATGAGAAGAATAAGTTTAAACATTGAAATAATCACAAGATCAAAGATAGATATAGTTAGATGAAAGTGAATGATATCATCGATCAGTAAATGAGTTCGACTACCTGAAACTCGGCAGAAACAGATGATATTTGTCATAGTATATTAATGATTCGAAAAGGAGTACCTGCAAGCCAAATGATTAGTAATAAGAAAAATTCTAGGAAAACAAATGCACGAAGAATATTACTGAGACGAAAATGAGAGAACAATGGAATGAGAATAGTATTATGAATGGACGAATTTGAATTGTTGATGCTGGTATTTTGAGCATTATCATCCAATAGCAAAGGATTTTCATCCTCGATCAATGTTATATCAATAATTGCTGCATCATCAACACTATGTGAAGTCATATTTAGAATAAACAGTAGATGGATGATGAAAAACATGTTGATAAACACCGTGATTGCATTAATAGTAATGAATAAGCAATTTTCTTTTTCTTTTTGAAGGATGGTAGCAACTAATTTAGAAAAGAAACAAGGTCATCCGTTGATTGCTTGATTTGCTCAGCCAATCAAGAAACAGCATACGTTGTACTAATGGAGATCAACTAGTGAAATGAGAAGACACTGTCAGTCTTAGTAGTCAATATAAAGTTTTGCTTGGTTAACAAAGACAGATAAGAAAGAATTGGACTCTATTACGTTTTCCATTACACACTGGTATTCTTAATTAATCAATCCATGTATGAATCACATTCGAGTCCCTAAGCGAACACCAAAGAGAAACTTATATATTGATCTACTTGCTAATATCATTTTGGATGTGGGTGTGGCTGTAGATGAAATGAAGATCCACGCCCACACCCACATCTCTGAAACAAGTTTTGTTTTTCAATCGCTATTTTCAATAAAACTGATTTCATAAAAAGGGCAAATAAGACTTCAAAAAGGATGAATTTCAGTAAATGTTGATGTGCAGCAGCAGTTAAAATAAACATTGGTTGGACTGCTAATAAATCTGCAGGTGTTTTTTAATGCATTGAATAACTTTCCTTTAACTTGATGTTTTTCAATATCTCCATACACACATTGAAGTTAGACAAACATTCGTTCGAGAGATGAATAAATCTGACGATTTACTACTATGTACCGTACTATTAATATTGTTTCGAGATCCAGTTTTAGCTGAAGATGATCATACATACGAAAGACAAGCAATTCTAGAATGAATTAAAACAATGGTCGAAGTCCCATAACTGTGCAACCATTGTCAATAGAACATTTATATCCAAATTATGCTATTGAGAAAGTAGTTGATATTTTTGAAAAATCATTGAAGAATAAAAATTGTCGATACAAACTTAATATTCATGTCAAAAAGAAATTCGGACGACCATTATTTTAATCATTTGGAAAACTATTTTTTATGCAGAGTAGTTACAAAAAAATGATAATGATCCAGAAATAATGTTCTTAAAAATTGATGATGCTCGTGTCAAAAAAAAGAAGCATCATTCTATATTTGATTTTAGTCATCATCTACATATTGTTAGACCATATGGATTAATGTACGCAGAAAATGATGATGATGATAATGAAAGTATGCTATTATAAGAACATGCACCTATTGAAAGTCTATGTGATTTATTGCAAGCACGAAGAAAAGCATCAAATGAAAAATTTCTTATGGAAATGGTTTTACAAATTCTTCATGCCTTGATCTTTTTAGCATATAATAATATCGTTCATGCTGTTTTAGCATGTCTCAATGTTTTACTTTTTCGTAGTGATGAAAATAATCGAAGAAATAATGTCGTCAAAATAATTAATTTTGGTCTTAGTCGACATCGTCAACTATATTTCTCAGCACCAAATGCATCAAAAAGTATTTTAAATATCATTCCTGTATGATATGTGGCACCAGAAATACTTTCGACGAATGCAAAACCAGAGATTTATAAAGAAGGGTGAGATGTTTATTTAATGTGTTTGTATTTGAGAGGCCTATTCTTGAGGTGTTATTGTTCGTGAGCAAAAATTAGTAACGATAACAATGTTGTTCGCCGTGTTGTTAATGCTGAGCTATTACCAAAATCTTCCAATTGTAGTGAGTCATATTGATCAATTATTTGTAGAACGTAGTCAAAAACACCCCAATATTGATCAACATTTGCTGAATTAAAACATTTTTTAACTAAATTAAACTAGGAAACAACATCTGAACCAGTAAATAGAAGTATTAATTGTATTTTATTGAGAATATTCTTCAAAATCTATACTAACATTAAAAATATTCCCTTTAATCTTTCAGCTGAGTTTCCAAACAACATGTTTCTTTGATATATTAAACTGATCATAAGAATGTAAAAATTTCATCAAATCTAAAATTAAATCAATTATCTCAAGTTCAACCAAACGCATATTTTCCTTTGTATTCACTTGAATATCTTATAGATGGGAAGATTCATTTCGAAAAACGAATACTATCATTGGTTACTCCGTTACAGTCAGTACTGAAACAATGTTTACCCAACAACAAAATAGTTAAGATAAAGCAGAGAAAGCTATTTAAATTTATCAATAACGGTTAAATTCAAGATTTATTTCTAGTGATAAAATATGCTTTGGAAAAGAACCGAAACAGAATCGGATAGATGTCTGACTTCTTACTAAAAAAACAATATTATTTTTTCATTTTTAAACATTCGAATCCAGTGAGAAATCATAAATGAAAACTCATGTTGCTTCTTTTTCTCTAATTTTGATCATAGAATTGCATTTATAGACTGTTCTCTTAACACATACAGGTTTTAAAACTAAAAAAAAGTGTATGAAATTGAAACCATTGTTCATTTATTGGAATATTTATGTTATAATTGCTTTTGCGTCATTATCATTATGAAGTAAATGTGTTACCGTTT